CAGGCGGCAGGCGGGAATCAAACTCATGCGGAAGTGGCTTCAGATTCTCAGTGCTGTGCTTTAACCCGCTGCGCCACCAGGGAGGGCCCTTTATTGTCTTTTTAAGTTTATCTTAACAGCCTTATAAATTTATAAGTTTATCTTAACAGTCTTATAAAATTTCCAGAGACAGGTATATTTTTAAATTCAGCCGTAAGTATTTCAGACAGCCTATCTCAGAAGTCAGCAACTGCAAAAAGGAATTTTACCCATTATCTGTATCATTAGTTTAATTCCCAGGATAACAATTTCTTTAAGTTGATGGTAGTAGAGGCAGATTGTTAATGAGGAAGACATAATTTCCAATTGGAAGCATTTCCTGTTATAATTCCCTGCAATATTAGAAAAAAATATCCCATGGTAAAACTTCATTCCACCCTAACTTTGAAGGATATCAATAGCTTCACATGAAAAGAGACTGTAGCTGTGTACAAGTCTCACCGGTGTCCAAAATGAATTTACTAACCAAGATAATTATGTCTTTAAAGCTGAAAACAGCTCTTTTGTGGATTACCCAGTCAGTAAATTTATGTGTAGTTACCACTCAAAAATTATCTGATTTATCACTTTCATGGATATTTTTTGAAATTTTTTCTTGGGCTGGTTATTTCTTTTAGCAGAATTCCCATATTTTAGCTTGAATCAGCAATAGCATTTGTGTAGGTATAGTGTAAGAGGCCTGAAGATTAAGAGTAGAGGAAAATGTTTATCAGCAGAGTTTCACCTAGATGGACAAATTTGTCTTGAAAACACTTTTGGGAAATATAACCACCTTGCTGATCTTTTTGCTTTCCATGCAAAAATATTGATAACAAAATGGATTACCTTTCTGAACCATTAAATATTTTATTATTTCTCTCACCAAATTCCCTTATGGTTTTTTAATAGATTTTCCTTAGTTTAACAGTAGATTATTTAAGATTTCTGAAATAACTATATTATAAACATAATAATAACATTAATTTATATAGTGTTTCTTTTAGTTGTAATATAATTTTTTATCATAACCATTGAATTTTATAAGGACTTTATTTTTATCCTAAACAGGAAGCAAATGCTAAACAAAATCAAAGGAGCTACTAAAATATACAAAATCTGGTTCTTTAGTCTTTTTTTTTTAAAGATTTATTTATTTGTACATACAGAACTGGGGTACAGGCCAGAGACGCGGAGGGTGAGAGGATTCACCAGAGACAGAGTGGGGAGCAGAACAGGCAGATCGAA